ATTTATTTATTTTTTGACAGGTACAAAGGCACTGGTGGTATATAAGAGGGGCAGCAAATGGTGTCATTCATAGTTGGAAATCACCAGTTCATACATGTGACGTAGGGCATTGCTCAGAGCAGCCAATCAGTCTCCAGCACCTCTCCTTAGATTCTCTATAGTAAGGCCCACAGGACCACCAGTTCAATGGATGCAGTAGGCCCAACAGTGGCTGGAGTGGAAGGGGTAGTTAACAAAATCAATCTTCAAATTCAAAGCTAGAAAGTATATCAAACCATTAACAATCAATTTTCAGAGGATACAAAGCAAGCTCAGAACTATTGTCACTACCCCTTCCACTCCAGCCACTGTTGGGCCTACTGCATCCATTGAACTGGTGGTCCTGTGGGCCTTACTATAGAGAATCGAAGGAGAGGTGCTGGAGACTGATTGGTTGCTCTGAGCAATGCCCTACGTCACATGTATGAACTGGTGATTTCCAACTATGAATGACACCATTTGCTGCCCCTCTTATATACCACCAATGCCTTTGTACCTGCCAAAAAAAAAAAAAATGATGCGGTATAACCCATCTGGATACACATAGCAAAACCGTACATATCATGACAGCTACTATGTGTATCCAGATGGATTATACCACGTAAATTTTTTTTTTTTTTTTTTTTTTTTTTGTAGCTACTACCATAACCTACCACCAAAGAACACAACATAATTTTTCTCCCTGCTCCTTACGATTGCACCGATACCACATATTGTATGTGAATGTTAGTTGTTTCTGGGTTCTAACAATAGTGCGCATTTTGTTTATCCTGACACTGATCCTAATTTAAAAAAAATCTTGACCCAAACATTAACCTTGGCATTGACCTGGATCAAACCTTGATCTAGGTAAATTTTATTTTATTTTTAGTATTTTTTTAATATATATATATATATATATATATATATATATATATATATATATATATATATATATATATATATATATATATATATAATTTATATTAATTTTTCTCCCCTCTCTGAAAGGGCAGAGAGATGCAATGTATCTCTCTCCTCCTTTCAGAGAGAAACAAGAGGGGCGGGGTTCACAGTGACGGGTCACTGTGATAGGCGATCAGGTGACCTGGAATCTGGAGTTCCAGGTCTTGATCATTAGAACGGGACCCAGGGCTTTTCAGTGAAACCCAGTCTTTGTGCTGGGAGCGCTGCACACACTCCCAACACAAAGGTATGCAAGTTGGCATCCCCACGGAAAAAGCCCAGTTTAGTGGGGCTGCATATTTGCTTACGATCGGCGTAAAGGGGTTAAATACCCATAAACATGCAGATTAGGTCTCCACCCTTTTTGCCCACTGACTTCTGGAAGTCCTCCAGAACCAGGTGGAGACAATAGAGTTCCAAACTGTTAAACTTTCCAGCCTGACCTGCAGTACCCCGACCTAATTACATACTCGCACAGTTACCATGAGTTATGCGCAATACATTTACCTACACTGTGTGTGTAGTACCCCCTAGTGTGCTACTAGAGTACATACAGAAAGAGAAGGGACCATGTAAATTAAACAGTGTGTGTTTATTATCACATTCAATACCCACTCTGAAACCAGAACTGCTGAATTCCAGGGGAACAGATATCCTTCCCCACTGTTATGAATGAAGCTAACAAAAAATGATCTGCTGGTGTCTTCAAACTCCTACTCCATACAGAAAGGCAATTAAAAGTCCCCCCTTACATATACAAACCACCACTATTTTGACAGGTGCTGAAAGAGACTCTGAGGTTGTACCCCAGCATAGCAGGAACATCCCGACTGACGTCAGAGGAGCTGGTGATCGATGGAGTTAGGATTCCGGAAAATACATCTGTTCTGGTAAGGCATTTAAACAATGAGCGACCGTTTCCCATGAGGCCTGGACCTTCTGCTCCCTATATGATGGGAAGATCTGGAGGCTGAAGACATTTTTCCTTTTTAGGAAAAAAAAAAACACACTAATATTTGAACTATACTGATGGAAAAGTGAGACCATTGTAGCATTAGGCTCCATTTATCAATGTGCCGATAACTAAAAAGCCTGCATTCCTCTAAGTCAGGGGTCCTCAAACTATGGCCAGACACGGCCCGCCGAAGACCTTTTACTCGGCCTGCCGGGCCAGGTAAAAAGAAGAAAAAAAATTGGAAAAAAAGGTGCCAGATGGCAAATGGCTAGGCTGCTCGCTGGGTCCTCAGCCGTTAGGACCCAACCAGCAACAGCCTGGAAGTCCCCTGATTTCACCTGCTGCAGCCAGAGGAGCAACGGGAAAGAACGCACCAGGTACAGTGCATTTTGGTGTCCATTGCATTTTAAATATTTTCCTGTGTGGTGGGTTTATTTGTCGTGTGGTGGTGTTTTTTTTTTTTTTTTTTTTTTTTTTTCCCCCACTACAAATAAGATATGTGCGATGTGCATAGGAATTTAAATATTTTAAATTCCCCCCCCCCCTCCCCCCCCCCCCCCAACAGTCAGTGAACTAGCCCACCCTGTTTAAAAGTTTGAGGACCCCTGATGTGTTTTTTAATTTAAAAAAAAATTAAAAATAGTGTGAATATTTTCCCATATTGCAATCTGGCCACTAGATGGAGCTGAGAAGTATACATATTTTGTATAGTGCTCATCGCCATCTAGTGGCCATAATATGGTATTCTCCCGTCACAATTTGTTTCAATGAATAACATTCAATCTGCAGGTAAAATAGCCTAAGAATGTTTGTTTTTGCCCAGAATGAATTTTACATTTGACTTTCAATGAAGAACAGCTATGCATATGTTTTTTATAAATACACTGCCAAGTGTGCTTGAGGTGTCAAGATATCTGCATATAGCCCTGCAAGACGGAAAGTTTACACTACAGTGCTGTGCTTTGTCTGAAATCTAATGTATTAGATGACTTTCATGGATTTTTGCAGCATCTTCTTATTTATTTCTCTTTTTTTTTTTTTTTTTTTTTTTCTTACAGCTGAACACCTATGTTACTGGGAGGATGGAGCAGTTTTTTCCAGATCCGCCGCTCACTTTTAACCCAGACAGATTCAGCCCCGACTCTCCCAAGTGAGTTGCTTCAGAGGCCCGGCCGCCCTTGTGATCAGAGGCCGATTGACAGGCCACTGGGAGGCAATTTTGTCAACTTCTCACCATCTGTTTTAATCGCTGAAAGACCAAACCACTGTGCCTCAACCACATACATGGCACAGGTTGGTTGCACCACAGCCCCATTAACTTGAATGCTGGTGGTACTGCCTACTAAGCGCAACAGAGGGATTCATTCTTGTCATAGCCACAGAATTTTACTGCCCTGAACAGCCGCATGTTCTTGTTCAGGTTGGGAGGTGGTAAAACCATGGTGGTTGCGGCACACTGGTGCAGGTTTTAAAGGGCAAAAAACAGGCAGTGAGAAAGCGATAAAATGCCTCCACACTGCCTAAAAAAAAAAAAAAAAAAAAAAAAAAAAGCACTTTGAAGAGCAATCTGTATGCAGATCACCCTCCAGAGAGCAAAGCTAGTGTAAATGAGGCCTAAATGGCTGGATATATAATGAGTGATTTGTGTAGGTGACAAATATAAATGACTTTGCTTTGTGGTTTGAACCGGCCCAAAGTTTTTTTTTTTTTTTTTTTTTTTTTTTTTTTTTTTTTTTTTTTTTGTTTTTTTTTTTGACAGCCCATTCATTTCAATTAGCTGCCAAATGCGTGGGAATGTGCAAAAAGTATACTAGGTGCAATTTTTAAAATGGCACTACACAGTACTGTGTTTTGGTGGCTGCAAGCGTATGTGCGTTTGCAGGTGTGTGTGGGTGCCATTAACTGTTAATAGCTCCCCTATGCATCGAGCAAATGACAGCGCATTCCTGTGTGGTGCTGGAAAGGGATTCTGTGTGTGTTTTAGGTGTGTGTGTGTATAGATATATATTCCCTTACAGAGATTTTATAGTTAGATGTAATCAGAGGCATCCCTAAGGTTGGTGTCACCCGGTGCGGTAACCTGTGGTGTCACCCCCTCCAGACAGGAAGGAGCGGTACCGGTGTGTAGTGGTAAAATGAGTATCCTGTGAAGATATGGATCCCCTGAAGCAACTGCGCATGTGCCAGTTTCAGGACGAAGAACCCGATCTCCAACTTTAGCACAGAGCCTGAAACCGGCACATGCGCAGTTGCTTCAGGGGATGCTCATTTTTCCGCTACATCGGGGCATGGGGCAGCTGTCACTGCCAGCATCCTGCATCCCCCTGTGATGTCACCCGGTGCGGCCCGCACCCCCCCCCCCCCCCAGGGACGCCACTGAATGTAATGTGGCCAGTTTACATGGAAATTCAACCAGCTGCTGTTTTAATAAAGATGGCAGACCTCCAGCTCCAAAAATTACATTTTTTGCAGGTAAACATTTTCGAGTTTCCTGGTAATGTTGAGTGACATAGCAGAATGACGTAATGTTGGTATTTTATCTTTTTTTTTTTTTTTTTTTTTTTAATAGGCCTCACTACACTTATTTCCCGTTCTCTCTGGGCCCGCGAAATTGTATTGGGCAGGTGTTTGCACAGGTATGAGCTTCATTTTATATCTCAGCATGTTTCCTATCGATTAATCAATGTCAGCACAGAACACAATCCCATTCCATACTGTTATATATAGGGGTCCCAGTCTTGTGATAAATGTCAGCATGGTGTCCCCAAAAGTGAAAAAAAGAATCTTCCATTCCTTTTTATTACCTTGTAATCCTGTCCCACTAATCTAGAAGATTGTTAAACTTGACCTCCCGCCTTCCCTTCAGTCTTGCACAGTTGTACCGGCTCCTCTCCTGGACCAGGGGCGGACTGACCATTTGGGCTCTCGGGCAGTGCCCGAGGGCCCAGGGTCAGTAGGGGGCCCCATGAGATGCCCCTAGTACCTTCTTCTTCTTCTTTTTTTTTTTTTTTTTTTTTTTTTTTTTTTTTTTTTTTTTTTACATAGGCTTTTTTGGGTAAAGTTTTTGAGTGTGGATGAGGACACGGGCCCCATGATCCCCCTATTGCCCAGGGGCCCCATGAGTTATCAGTCCGCCCCTGTCCTGGACTGAAATTTCTTCTTCTGATTTCACTGCACACTGTGAGCTTCCCACAGTGTGCATTAGAAGCTGCAATAAATGGAGCCCTCCCCACCCGCCTAAATTTTTTTTCTGGCTGGAGGAAATGTTGAAAAGCTTCACAAGTAGCAATAATGTCTTCAGAAATCTCATCTGAGATTGCACAAAAATTGTGCATCCAGCATAGCACTTTCCACCCCAGCCTGACTGTCCTTGCCTGTCCCTTTCATTTACTGGATCTCAGCGTTTTTAACCACTTCAACCCAAGGACATCATATGATGTCCTACAGGTGGGAAGTGCACTACTTGAGTTGTAGTAGCACATGCACTACTTTTTTTTTTTTTTTTTTGCGATTTTGTATAGACATCCGTGTGAGTTGTCTTGCAAAATCGCAATTGAAATCGGTAGGTCACTTGATTTTGAAATTGTACGGCTTGACTGTAAGTCACACGATTTCAAAACCAGCTTTGATGCAACGGGGGGCTTAGTGCCCGGTGACACCGTGCGATTTGCTCATTGAAATCGCACCAAAAGTCGTATCTAGTGAATGTCAGTGTCTTAACATGGGCGATTTGCTGCAACGCGATTTCTAAAATGGTTCATGCATTACTTTTTTCTGCAGTTTTGTTGCGATTTCACATACATAGAATATAATGGAAATCGCACTGCAAATTGCAAGAAATTGTTGAAAAGCTTCACAAGTAGCAATAAAAGCTTCAGAAATCGCACCTGAAATTGTGCTGAAATTGCACACAAATCGTGCAATTTTAAATCGCAGCGGCATGACTGACTAAAGAGACAGTGTAAAAAAAAAAAAAAATAATTAAAATATAAGAAATAATACAAAAAAAAGCAACCTCGTGCCTACGCCTAAATGCATACGCAAGTTCTGCACATGTATGTAAACAGTGATTGCACCACACTTGTGAGGTATTGTTGTGAACATTAGAGCAAGAGCAATAACTTTAGCTCCTGTGTAACTCTACCCTGGACCCTACGTTCACAATATCTGGTCTTCCACAGTACACAGAACATCTTGTGACTTCTATCAGTGTCCAGCAGAGCACATGGTAAAGCTTGTAGGAAGAGTTTTCATTCTCCTCTAACTATCCTATGAGGCTGCATGACTCCTGACCCTCTGTCTGTACAGTGCTGATTGGCCCTGTGCTGATCACATGCACCCTCCCAAGATAAAAAAAAAACCCTCTAGCACTACACGCCAGACTGAGAGCAGAGCCTTGGGGCAAGCTGCACATGCTGTCAGCAGATGGATTGGGGACTGTGGAAGAAGGGGAGGATCAGAGAAGACAGGATCAAACAGCTTTTTTTACACAATGCAGAGGATTAACCCCTTAGATTCCACAGTGAGTATAACCAGCATGCTTTACTACATATACAGACTGATTTCAGTGTTGTGGGTTTAGTAATGCTTTAAAATATCCAAGTAAACATGAAGATCTATGTGAAAATAAACCAAAAGGCAATTGGCTTCAATAAATGCGTTGCAATCTATTTATAGATGGCAATATGCCAAAAAGTTATATTTAGAAATAAGCCCCTGCTGATATTGTGAGTCCTTGTCATCGCATTGTCCATGGGGTGGCAGCAGAGAGCCAACTATCTGAATAGAAGAGCCTGAGCCCAGGTAAGGAATGCCTCCTCCTCAGTGGGAGTCCCTGAGCCCATCAGCCCTCCCCATTAGACAGAGGGACAGGCATTCCTCTCAATGAACTCACTTACAGTAAAGGGACAGAGGTGAGAAGCTGGTTACAGCAGCACAATGAAAGGTATCCCCCCCCCCCCCCAAAAAAAAAAATGCTGCACAAATACTGTGTGACAAAAAAAATGCAATACCCACCATTTTATTCTCTAGGGCCTCTGATAAATGAATATTATTGTGGGGGGTTCCAAGTAATTTTCTAGCAAAATACTATTGTTTTTTTTAAGGACAAGTTCACCTATGGGAACATGTTACATGTTCCACCCATTTTTAGAGTGGAACATGCAACATGTTCCCGCAGCAGCTTGGCGATTGGAAGACGAAGTCATCCCCGTAGTCTTCTGGGACACGTGGCAGGTCCCAGAAGACTCTGGGGTCATTCAGGAAGCGCAGCGCTACTCGTGCATGCGCTGCGGGCACCCAGCTGTGACAGCTTGTGCCCATACTGAAAATTCCAGTGCCTGGTGAAACGGGCCGTGGGGAGGACACTGTGGGATCTTGGGACAGGTGATTGGCTGTTTTTTTAAAAGTCAGCAGCTACAGTTTGTGTAGCTGCTGACTTATTTTTCTTTCAGTGCGACTGGAACTCGGCTTTAAATGGTCACGTTTGCTCTTTCTGCCAATACACAGATGGAGGCCAGAGTCATAATGGCCAAACTGCTGCAGAGAGTTGACTTTGAGCTGGTGGCGGGTCAGAGGCTTACAATTTTGGATGCAGGCACGCTGCGCCCCATGGACGGCGTCAGATGTTATCTTAAACTCCGGGAAAAGCTCTGAGAAGACTTCAAAATCATCAACCTAGAGACTTCATCAACCTGGAGACTTCCAAAGAACCCTTTATTCTTGATCAATGGGAATTGGAACTCTTATTGAAGATATTTTGGGTTGCTTCTGTAAGGAACTGTTGGTTTCTTCTAACTCTGGGTATTACATTAAAATATTTGTACATTTTTCTCTGTTTGGCTTCATTTTGTAGAACTTGCTGGGTTTTTTTTTTTTCATTTTTGCTTTTACTGTAAGCCTTTTGCAGATGAAACATTTCCATATTCTTCTATTGAGAATAGGCAGCTGGATATCCAGGGGGTCCAGCTACAATCTTCATGTCCCTATCGTATACCAGGGGGGATAGTGTAATTGGTCAAAGCTGTACACCTACTTGTCGCTTCAGCCCAGGTTCACATGCATGCGGTGCGGTATATCGGAACACAGGAACCGCACCGCATTCCTGTGCAAATTCCATGAGGTGTGTGTGTGTGTGTGTGTGTGTGTGTGTGTGTGGGGTACGATTGGAGCCGTACATTTTGTATGGCTTTTTTTGGGTTCGCACTAGAATCAGATCGCATGGGTATTCACAGCTATGCAATCCGATTCTGCACATCGCATTTTGCGGAGCGCTTTCGGGGGGGGTTAACATACACACCTGCAGCGGTTCGCATGAATGTGGTGCGATTCTGATACGGTGTGGAATTTGCGCAGAAAACACTGAGAATTCTGGACTGCATCAGTGTGAACCCGGGCTCAAAAGGGATAATGCACTTGGACAGTGAGGGGGAGTTTTACTAAAACAAGATCACTCAGAATCTGGTGCAGCTGTGCATAGCAGCCAATCAGCTTCTGACGTCAGCTTGTTCAGTTAAGCTTTGGCAATAAAACCTGGAAGCCGATTGGTTTCTCTGCAAAGCTGCACCAGATTTGCGCACTCCAGTTTTAATAAATAATCCCCTTGGTGTCTGATGGAGGGGCCATACCAGTACAGACAATGGAATGGCTTCTCTGTTCCTATTGCAATCAATGGCAAAGAGGGAGCGGGAGCAGGGCAAAGCTGCTACCTTCCCCCAGGCCCCCATTTTAATAACTACATCACATTGGCTGAAGGTTTATATTTGAAGAAGAAAAAAGTCATGTACTGCATAAAAAAAAAAAAACTTTCAAATGTGCTGCCTATGACGTGTCAGCAGATGGCGCTCTACGTAGACAACTAAGAGCAGAAGTCTCCTTTAATAGATTGTAAGCTCTCAGGAGCAGGGACCTCCTAACCCTTTTGGTATTGAATTGTTATTGCTGTAATCTTTTATATTGTACAGCTCTGCACAAACTGTTGGCGCTACATAAACCCTGTAAATAATAATCTAAAGTCTCAAGCTATTTAAAATCATTAAAAATATAAGCTGTAATTTAAGTTAGACAAAATTAGTATTTTCTCCTTTTTGCTTCCTGATTTTTATTTAATTTTTTTTCCCTAACTTTTAACTTAAAAGAGAAAATAAATAATATGTGTATTTTAAAGCACAATACTAAAGGCTTTGTGTATAAAATGTTCATTATTGAACTACACCCTACTTGTAAATCATCATCTTTGGCAAATAAATCTATACAGGACGAGGGAGCGTTTCCCTATCCAGCATCTGGCCAATTGATGAATCTAAAATATATAACCTTTATTCAAATATATAAAAGTATGCTCAGCTGTAATTTTATGCCTATTGGAGTGGAATGTACTATGCACAACAATATTTATTTATTTCAGGTACTTGTATAGCGCTGTCAATTTACGCAGCGCTTTACATATATATTGTACATTCACATCAGTCCCTAACCCTCAAGGGGTGTACAATCTAAGGTCCCTAACCCTCAAGGGGTGTACAATCTAAGGTCCCTAACTCACATTCATCCATACACATACTAGGGACAATTTTGACAGGAGCCAATTAGCCTACCAGCATGTCTTTTGAGTGTGGGAGGAAACCCACGCAGGCACAGGAGGAGAGCATGCAAACTCCAGGCAGGTGGTACCGTGGTTCGGATTTGAACCAACAACCCTAGTACTACCAGGCAGAAGTGCTAACTATTTAGCTGCTGTGCTGCCCCGCACAGTGACTAGATACCATTGCAATTATTTACCTTGCATCCAAATGGTTAATAACACCAGACCAAATATCATACTGTTTTAGATGAAGTGATGGCATACAAAGAGGCACTGTAGTTTGATCATAAACCTATCAGCTTGAATATATCATCATCATGGACAAAACGAATTAGATAGTATAATCTATCTTGCTACAGATATGTAATACGGGTACACTCATCCACGGGCTTAAATGTCAGCCTCTAATGGGTAAGCCCCATACATCACCATATCCACCAAAAATACATCACTGTCTTGAGGAATGCAAATGACGCACTGTAAAACACAAAATGGCCATTTTGCCACCATGTGCAGCTGAGCACAATTTCCAGACAATATGTGACCTATTTAAATTATTTATACTCCTGAGGAAGCTGTTTTCTGGAGTGAAACATGTAGAGGTGTTTTTTTTTTTCTTTTCTTTGGGAGCACTTTTTGAATGTACATGGTATTCAGTCATTTTGTTGTTGTGTGCAGTACATTCCACTTCAATAGGTGTTAATTACAGCTCAGCATATATATGAATAAAGTTTATATATTTTAGATTCATGAATTGGCCAGATGGTGCATAGGGAAACGCACCCTTGTCCAGTATAGATTTAAAATGTTCACTGTACAGATGTCTTTAAGCATTCATACTGGCACCAAGAAAGCCAGCCATATTGTTGGTAATATGATTATATCCTATGATCCTCAGCTCCACCTAGTGCCCATATTGAAGATTTTTTTTAAGGCTTTTCAAGAAAATACCACAACATGGCCACTAGATGGCGCTTATCAGGGGATAATTGTATTGATAATGTGTAAGTATCTGGATGTGACCCGGTATCAGCCTCTTGCAATCAGTGTAAGTATCTGGATGTGACCCGGTATCAGCCTCTTGCAATCTCTGTACAGTAAGTTGTCTCAGAGTATGAGTGGAAGAAGCAGCACAAGGAGATAATCCGGTTTATGTGCTGACAAGACATGTCCTAATAGGAGGAGAGAGCAGAGTGACAGAGATGAGCTGATTACTGAGCTGCTGGCCACGGACTAGTCATTTTTATCTTGTTTAATAGTGTAAAAGCCACATATGACTTTTAATACTATAACCGGTTTTCATTTTATTATTTTTTACGTTTTGGATAGGGTGGAAGGGTTAGAACCTCAGTCCAGTTTTTATTGCTGTGTGTGCACTGCTGGTGAGAATTCCCCTCTCTTCTTGCTCCTGGGACAGCATTATATAATATATTATTACAGAGTATGAAGAGGGAAAGTCTGCAACAGAAACACAGACAGCATTAAAACAGTGACAGGGGTTCTAGCCATCCCCAAATCTATTATATTTTTTTTTTTTATAGCTGTCTCAGGTGGAGTTTTCCCTTCACTTTCTGTTCCCCTAACTTTCCTGATCTACTACTATGTGGTTTTGTCTGTATCTCTGTCGGCAAGACTTTGTCACTTTCCTGTACTGACAGGGAAGGGAAATGTCCCCTAGAGGAGACCCAGGCACCAGTAAAAACATGGCAGAGGTGCTAACCCCCTTAAAGACTGCAGATTATAACACGCTTTTTTTTTTGCTGGTAATCTACCTTGCACACTGGCAGCACTGTTAACTACCCTCCCTGAAAAGCAATTAAAATATGCAGATTTGGGCCTCATATACACGGGATACTTTAGCTATCTCAGCTCCATGCCTTTCTTCCGGTAGCAGAAAAAAAAAAAATTTGACGCTTGTAAAAATGCCATAACACGTTTTGACACGTCAAGCACTTGGGCATTAATTCATGTCATTATCCTGCATAATAATTTATTCTGGCCATTGATATTTTTTTTTCAGGTATTTATATAGCGCCATCAATTTACACAGCGCTTTACATATATATTGTACATTCACATGAGTCCCTAACCCTCAAGGGGCGTACAATCTAAGGTCCCTAACTCGCATTCATACATACACATACTAGGGACAGTTTAGTCAGGAGCCAATTAACCTACCAGCATGTCTTTGGAGTGTGGGAGGAAACCGAAGTATGTGGAGGAAACCCACGCAGGCACAGGGAGAACATGCAAACTCCAAATTGATATAAATTACTGCTTAAATGCTAAACGTGCCTAGCATTAAGGTGTGTTTAGATGTGTTGCCATGCGTCAATCTTTTTATCTGCCAACCCCCCCCCCCCCCCGCCCGCCTCTGAACTTCTCTAAATGCCTACATGTGCATGAACACCCAGGTGAACATAAAAGGGAAGAAGAAAATGACAAAAGTCAAGCGACTGTTTGGGTCTCAAGTGTGCAATGAGGCCTGTATGGAGCGCAGCAGCAACGTGTGGGATTCCCTCCTGTTGCCATATTAGGTTAAAGGTGGGCATACCAGGGCTTGTTTTTGCTGCCCCTGTGAATGCGGTCAAGTAAACAAAAATAATAATATGACTTTAAAGTGTTACTAAACCCAGGACCCTGCGTTCACTATATCCGGTCGCCCCGGACCCTGCGTTCACTATATCTGGTCGCCCCGGACCCTGCGTTCACTATATCCGGTCTCCCAGGACCCCTGCATTCACTATATCTAGTCTCCCCGGACCCTGCGTTTACTATATCTAGTCTCCCCGGACCCTGCATTCACTATATGGTCTCCCCGGACCCTGCGTTCACTATATCCGCTCTCCCCGGACCCTGCATTCACTAAATCCGGTCTCCCCGGACCCTGCATTCATTATATCCGCTCTCCCTGGACCCTGCGTTCACTATATCTGGTCTCCCACAGCACACACAACATGGAAATGCAATTATTTTAGTAAATATAAACTGCTAAAATACCTTTTCTCATCAGCCGTTACAACAGTCTTCTGACTTCAGCAGAGCACGTGTTAAAGCTTGTAGGAGGAGTTTTCTTTCTCCTTTCAGGAGGATGTGAAACCCCTGACCTTTGTCTGGACAGTACTGATTGGCCCTGTGCTGATTACATGCACCCTCCCTAGAAAAAAAAAACTCTCTAGCAATGCACACCAAACTGAGCATGTGCAGAGTGACTCCAAACATCTGTCCTATCAGGAGATATTTAGGGGACAATGGAAGAAGGGAAGGATCAGAGATGAGAGGATCAATCATCCTTTTTACACAATGCGGAGGATTAACCCCTTTGGTTCCACAGTGAGTATAACAAGCATACTTTACTGCATATACAGACTGATTGTACTGTTGTGGGTTTAGTAATGCTTTAAAATATCCAAGTAAACATGAAGATCTATGTGAAAATAAACCAAAAGGCAATTAGCTTCAATAAATGCGTTGCAATCTATTTATAGATGGCAATATGCCGAAAAGTTATATTTAGAAATAAGCCCCTGCTGATATTGTGAGTCCTTGTCATCGCATTGTCCATGGGGTGGCAGCAGAGAGCCAACTATCTGAATAGAAGAGCCTGAGCCCAGGTAAGGAATGCCTCCTCCTCAGTGGGAGTCCCTGAGCCCATCAGCCCTCCCCATTAGACAAACAGGGACAGGCATTCCTCTCTTAATGAACTCATTTACAGTAAAGGGACAGAGGTGAGAAGCTGGTCACAGCAGCACAATGAAAGGACACATTATTTTCCTTGGAGCCTCTCTCATATTTATTGGCATTTTTGTCAAACTTTCACCCCAAGGAAAAGCTTCCTATAATGACAAGTACATGTCCCTGCTGGGGTCCCCGCACAGCCCTGACCTGCGGAAGGAAATTACGGAAAGGCGCAGGGACCTAAGGTCCTTCCATAAAATGTTACTGGGTTCCCAAAGGACAGGTCCTGAGGATGAGCCGCTGAGGATTCTGGGAGCGGACCCGCCGCTACGTGGGATGCTAACGTGCCAAGACCTCTCTTATTTGTCAAGGATTGATTATATCGGGTCTGGCTTTACCAAATTAGTCCTGAAGGGGACTTTATTGAATGGCAAAGATATTGCAATCAAGACGGTCCACGGCGAAGGGAACGACGTGAAAAACTGCATGAAGGCGTATGGCGACCGCGTCGGCTGTCACCGACTGGCTACGTACAAACTGCAGAAGGAGATTGCACTGATGCAGATTCTGCGGCACCCCGGCATCACCCAGGTATGGCGTCCTGATAAATATATTGGGTGTAGATAACAACCTCATTTATTTATTTTATTTATTTTTCTATTATATTTATTTTATTTTTCATTATTTATTATTATTTCTATAGTATTTATATAAACAAGCTTAGGGTACATATTCTGGGGCACCCTGGCATCACCCAGGTATGGCATCCTGATAAATATATTGGGTGCATATAACAACCTTTATAAACGAGCTTAGGGTACAGATTCTGCGACACTCCGGCATCACCCAGGTATGGCGTCCTGATAAATATATTGGGTGTAAATAACAACCTCATTTCATTATTATTATTTTTTATTTCTATTTTATTTATATAAACGAGCTTAGGGTACAGATTCTGCGGCATCCCGGCATCACCCAGGTCTGGCGTCCTGATAAATATATTGGGTGTATATAACAACCTCATAAACGAGCTTAGGGTACAGATTCTGGGGCACCCCGGCATCACCCAGGTATGGCGTCCTCCTAAATAAATTTTACTGGGTGTAGATAACAACCTAATTTATCTATTTATTTTTATTTTATTTTTCTATTATATTTATTTTATTTTTCATTATTATTATTATTATTATTTATTTATTTTATAGTATGTATATAAACGAGCTTAGGGTACAGATTCTGGGGCACCCTGGCATCACCCAGGTATGGCGTCCTGATAAATATATTGGGTGTATATTTTTTCATTTTTTTTATTTTATTTTTTTTTTTATATTTTTTTTTTTTATTATTATTTTTTTTTATTTTATTTTTAAAGTTTCTATAGTATTTATATAAACGAGCTTTTTACAGATTCTTTTTTTTTTTTTTTATTATTTTTCACCCAGGTATGGCATCCTGATAAATATATTGGGTGTATATATAACAACCTCATTTATTTATTTTATTTATTTTTCTATTATTTTTTTTTTTATTTTTCATTAATATTATTATTTCTATTTTTATTTATATAAACTTTTTAGGGTACAGATTCTTTTTTAGCATCACCCAGGTATGGCGTCCTGATAAATATATTGGGTGTAGATAACAACCTCATTTATTTATTTATTTTTCTATTATTTTTTATTTTATTTTTTTTATTATTATTATTATTATTATTTCTATAGTATTTATATAAACGAGCTTAGGGTACAGATTCTGCAGCATCCCGGCATCACCCAGGTATTTTTCCTGATAAATATATTGGGTGTATATAACAACCTCATTTATTTATTTTTTTTATTTTTTATTGTATTTTTTTTTTATTTTTCATTATTATTATTATTATTTTCTATAGTATTATTTATATAAACAAGCTTAGGGTACAGATTCTGCAGCATCCCGGCATCACCCAGGTATGGCGTCCTGATAAATATATTGGGTGTATATAACAACCTCATTTATTTATTTTATTTATTTTTCTATTATATTTATTTTATTTTTCATTATTATTATTATTTCTATAGTATTTATATAAACGAGCTTAGGGTACAGATTCTGGGGCACCCCTGGCATCACCCAGGTATGGCGTCCTGATAAATATATTGGGTGTATATATAACAACCTCATTTATTTTATTTATTTTTCTATTATATTTTTTTTTTCATTATTATTATTTTTATTGTATTTATATAAATGAGCTTAGGGTACATAAAGGTTCATTGAATGGGCCCTCAATCTCAAACCCCTGACCATTTAGAGCTCATGCTCACAGACAGTTTGAGGTGCAAGCTCTCTGTGGATCACTTTTCAAAGGCTTTTGATAGACAGTGAGGCGGTGATATGTTGCCTTATCACCCCTTGTTTTAATCTGGTGAATAACGCACCTCAACTACGTGCCATACAGCGAGGTCCCATTCGCTTGAATAGGTGGCTTTCTGTGGTGGTACTGCCAACAAACGCGGCAGGGTGATCATTTTTGCTGTGGCACGTCTGCATTCCCATCTGGCTGCCTTTGCAGCTTTAGGGAGGGTGGTAAAAATGCAGCTAACCACCTTTTTTTTACAGGTCTAAATGAGCCCTAAGGCTTGCTTCACACCTATGCAGTTTGCTTTTGATCCGTTTTATGATGCTTTTTGGATTGTGATTTGCGTTTTTCCACATGCATTTTTGCCGCATTTTTTTTTTTTACAGCTTTTTTGTGTTAAAGCGAAAATGTTTTTGCTTCTGGCCAGAAACGAAATAAAATGCAAAATGCGGCAGAAATGCGCTGCATGCATTTCAGCAGCTTCACCATTGAAATATATTGTAGCAAAAATGCTGCTTTTTGCGTTTAAAAAAGTCCCTGACCCAGGGGGGACTGACCATTTGGAAACTCAGGCACTGCGCAAGGGCCCGGGGTCAGTATGGGGCCCCATGAGATGCCCCTGGTACCTTTTTCATAGGCTTTTTTGAGTTTGGGCAAGGACACAGGGGCCCCATGATCCCCTATTGCCCGGGGGCCCCATGAGTTGTCAGTCCGCCCCTGCCCTGACCCTTTCCAAAAAAGCAGCAGCTCAAAAAAGCAGAGATGTGAACGTGTCCCATAGTGAACCATGTTAGATGGATTGTAGTGTGTTTCTGCAAAAAGCTCTAAAAAATGCCTTGGTGTGAACCAGGCCTTAAGGATATAGAGAGTACAAACATTGTACAACCAGATTGTACTGAATCTTATACTGTATGGCAGGAAACGATGGTGATTGTCCCGGAATATCTGACAACCGACTTTAATTGCAAGATCAGCCATCCACAGATGTTCAATAAATGCTCATGGAGGTTAGATGGTTGTCACATATTTTAGGCAATCGGATCAAACTTTCTAACTTTTCTGGCTGCTTGTTGTCCAGATACAGATTTGATACTCATTACAGTTTTGATACATTTGTCACACATTACATTAGGAAGCTGTTATTTCAATCATTGGTTTAGCACCGACAAAGTACAGAAGGCCACTTGCTGCTCTCAAAGGAACTTATGATCTGATGCCCCCACCCCAGTCATGAACTATTTTCTGTGCAAAGCAAACTCTATGTGCAAAGGGAATTGAAGCCCAAGGCTCCAGTGCTACAAGGAAAATGCCACTTCTTTTTGTGCGATCCAGTGCGATTTCAACCCGTTCAAATGAGTGGGCATAAAATCGCATGACACTGAATCGCACAGGAACATGGTCTGCGTTTAGGTGTGAACCCGACCTCAGTGCTCTTGTTTTTCTCCTCTATTATTTATATATAGTACTTACCTGTGTGCTGCACAAGGAGGGAGAGACATAAACCTGGCCATAGAAGGCAAGGACACTACTAGGCAATTGGTACTATGGTCTCAACTTTCCTTTCTCTCCTCTCTTTCTATTCTTTCTCTTCTCTCTTTTTTTTTCTCCCTCTCCATCTCTCTCTTCTCTATATTTCTCTCTCATCTCTCTCTTCTGTCTCCCCCATTCTCTCTTTTGTATCTCTTCTCCCTCTTTTCTGTTTGCTTCTCTTTTTTTCTTCCTCTTTTCTCCCTCTTTCCACTCTCTTATCTCTGTGTTCTCCATCTCTTTTCTCTCCCTCTCTTTCTTGTCTATTTTTTCCCTCTCTTCTCTCTTTCAACTGTCTTTCTTGTCTCTTTTCTTTCTCTCTTCTCTCTTTCTTCTCTTCTCTTCCCTTCCCTCCCCTCTTGTTTCTTCTTCTCTTTTCTCTCTTTTCTCTCTCTCTCTTTCTTTCTTCTCTCTCTCCTCTCTCTTTCTCTCTCACCCCCTCTATCTTCTCTCTCTTCCCCCTCTCTATCTCTTTCTTTTGCTCTCTCTCTTCTTTCTCTTCTCTCTTTTTTTCCCTCTCTTCTCTCTTTCAACTGTCTCTCTTGTCTCTTTTCTTTCTCTCGTCTCTCTTTCTTCTCTTCTCTTCCCTTCCCTCCTCTTGTTTCCTCTTTCTCATTTCTCTCTCTCTCAGTCACTCTATTCTCTCTCTTTCTTTCTTTTTTTCTTTCTCCTCTCTCTCTTATCTCCCCCTCTCTCTCTTCCCTCTCTCTATCTTTTTCTTTTGCTCTCTCTCATTTTCTCTTCTCTCTTTTTTCCCTCTCTTCTCTCTTTCAACTGTCTCTCTTGTCTGTTTTCTTTCTCTCTTCTCTTCCCTTCCCTTCTCTCGTTTCTTTTCTTTCTTTCTTTTTCTTTCTTTCTTTCTTTCTTTCTTTCTGTCTTTCTATCTTTCTTTCGCTTTCTTTCTTTCTCCTCTCTCCCCCCTCTCTTTCTCTCTCTCTCTCTTTTCTCTTCTCACCCCCCCCCCCCCCCCTCTCTCCCTCTTTTCTCTCTGTCTCTTTTCTCCCCCCCTCTCTCTTTTATCTCTCCCCCTCTCCTCTCTCTCTCTCTCTTTCTCTCTCTCTTTCTCTCTCTCTCTCCCTCTCTTGTTTCTCTCTCTCTTCTCTGTTTCTCTCTTCTTTCTCTTTTGTTTCTCTCTTCTCTGTTTCTCTCTTCTCTCTCTTTTGTTTCTCTCTTCTCTGTTTCTCTCTTCTCTCTCTTTTGTTTCTCTCTCTCTTCTCTGTTTCTCTCTTTGCAATATATCACCGTGGGGTCCCTTTACACTGAAGCATTCCACTGCTTTGTGTTAATTCACATGCGATATTGTGCATTTCATTAGGGCAGTCAATTCCTTATGAATGGGATGCCAACGCACCACAGCAGATGAAAAATGCACATCATCCACTTTTTAAAAATGCTATTGCATCACCCATGTGCCTAGAATATGAGATATCCGCACAACAGCCAGAGTGGGAGAAATAATTCTCAGGCCCATCATTTGCTATGAACTCCAAATTGCTAACCAGTAAAGAATTTGAAAGTGTCGCCTGTGAACAATTTTGGGTTCTGTAGTTTTCTGACATGCAGTTTAAAGGTTTGACATGTTTGGTATCTACTTACTTAATGAAACTTCGTCTTTTATAGCATACAAAAAATTGGCAATCATATATTGTGTTGGAGTATATTTTTTCTCCTGAAAATGTAGACTTGATCAACATTTGCAGAAATGTTGTGCCATTAAAATAAATAGCAGGCGCTGTCATTTTATTCTGCAGGGCCTTTGCATTCAGAAAACAGATGATTGCTCAGAGGTTTGGGTAACTTCCTAGCAATAAAAATGCAAATTTTAAGGTGTTTGTGAAAAAATTTTAAAAAATTGCAGCAAATGCAAAATGGTTAAGAAAACTAAACTCAACGCCATAACAATATCGCCTTAAAATATGTGCCCGCTGATTGGTCGTAACATATCAGTGTGTTTTCAGAAGGCTCCATTGTATTCAGAAGATGTCATCAAAGTGCTGCAGTCCATAAAAGTGGGAAACACAACAAGGAGATCATTAGGAACTTTGTAGCTGGCCACTCCTGCAATAATACTGTCACTTTCCTCAGTATCCCCCACCATGCATGAGAAAAGCACTTTTAATTGGGCAGGAAGGTGTCGAATGACCTCAAGTTGCCCCATTTGAAGGGACATTTGTAGCAACAATGATGTCACTGCCCTGTCCCCCCCCCCAAAGCGGGGGTTGGGGGCCCCTGTCTATGCCTGACCTCCATCAGTTCACTTCCTTAGGTAAACGCAGAGGCCTGGTCTTCAACATGTGTCAGATGTGTGACAAAACCCGCAGGGAAGGCCCAGCGCCTCTGATTGATCAAATTCCCAACATTCCTCATCTGTCAATATATGGAGATATTTGGTGATAAAGTGTATCTGAAGGCTTTTTATGGTTTACTATTTGATGGAATGCAGAAGGTTTTTGATTGCTGTCTAGGATTCGTACCCTCTCTTTTGTCCTGATGATCATTGCCACTTGGACAGAATGTTGTCTTAGATTGTAAGCTCCCAGGATCAGGGCCCTCCTAACCCTCTTGTACTGAACTGTATTGTTGCTGTATTGTCTCCGATTATATTGTAAAGCGCTGAGCAAATTGTTGGCGCTATATAAGTCCTGTATAATAATAATAATTGTCACCAGAACAGGACAGGAGGCAAAACAATCAAATGGGGACACCTATTCTGGTGACAACACAGTGGAAAGATTTCCTGCTACTTCCTGTTTTTGAATCTGGGATAGGAAGTGAGTGGAATTCTCCCCAATGGAACATAAAAAAAACCAAAAAAAAAACAACCTGACAGCTCTATATCTGGCAATGTTTTCATGTACATTGTGGTGTTTAGATTTGTATTTTAGAACAGCATTTAGAGGCAAAAATGCTCCGGACCTGCTTTCAGAGAGAAGAGCACCGGTGTCATTGACGCATGTACATGCAATTACGCATTGGCTAGAACAAATGATTGTTACAGCCACTAAAATGAAATGTTGCTTTTTGTCACGCGGTTTTGCGTTTTGTGATGCATTTTGCGTTTTTTTCAGGGGTTTTTTTTTTTTTTTTAAAGGGGAAATTTTTTTTAGTTGGTGGCCAGAATAAAAATGTAAAACATGGCAAAAACACACTACATGCTTTTCAGCAGCTTCTCCATTGAACTACGCAACATGTTCTCCTTTCCTTCAGCACACACCAATGCAGCTCGTTAGCGTATACCGAACTGATAGGACAGAAGGCAGATTGTCTATGCGTTGGGTCTTATGCCCAATGTAGCCCAATGAGCCTTTCTACGTCGCGTGTTGGTGTCCTGTATAGTTGACTGCACTGAACAACAATATGATGACGCAACGCGCTGCCCAACGACGCCACATGCTCTCCTTTTCCTCAGCACACACCAATGTAGCTCGTTAGCGTATATTGAACTTATAGGACAGAAGGCTGATTGTCTATGCGTTGGGTCTTATGCCCAATGTAGCCCAATGAACCTTTCTACGTCGAGTGTTGGTGTCCTGTATAGTTGACTGTACTGAACAACAATAGGACGACGCAATGCGCTGCCCAAAGATGCAACATGTTCTCTTTTCTTCAGCACAAACCAATGCAGCTCTTTCACGTATATTGGACTAATAGAACAGAAGGCTGATTGTCTATGCGTTGGGTCTTATGCCCAATGTAGCCCAATGAGCCTTTCTACGTCACGTGTTGATGTCTTGTATAGTTGACTGCACTGAACAATAATAGGATGACGCAACGCGCTGCCCAAAGACACAATGCGCTGCCCAAAGACGCAACATGTTCTCCTTTTCCTCAGCACACACCAATGCAGCTCGTTAGCTTATACTGAAGTGATAGGACAGAAGGCTGATTGTCTATGTGTTGGGTCTTATGCCCAATGTAGCCCAATGAGCCTTTCTACGTCGTGTGTTGGTGTCCTGTATAGTTGACTGCACTGAACAACAATATGACGACGCAACGCCTGCCCAAAGATGCAACGTGCTGCCCAACGACGCAACATGTTCTCCTTTTCCTCAGCAAACACCAATGCAGCTCGTTAGCGTATACTGAAGTGATAGGACAGAAGGCTGATTGTCTATGCATTGGGCCTTATGCCCAATTTAGCCCAATGAGCCTTTCTACGTCATGCGTTGGTGTCTTGTATAGTTGACTGCACTGAACAACAATAGGACGACGCAACACACTGCCCAAAGATGCAACATGTTCTCTTTTCTTCAGCACACACCAATGCAGCTTGTTAGCTTATATTGAACTTATAGGACAGAAGGCAGATTGTCTATGCGTTGGATCTTATGCCCAATGTAGCCCAATGAGCCTTTCTACATTGCGTGTTGATGTCCTGTATAGTTGACTGCACTGAACAACAATAGGATGACGCAACGCGCTGCCCAATGACGCAACATGTTCTCCTTTTCCTCAGCACACACCAATGCAGCTCGTTACCGTTTACTGAACTGATAGGACAGAAGGTTGATTGTCTATGCGTTGGGTCTTATGCTCAATGTAGTCCAATGAGCCCTTTCTACGCGGGACGGTTGTGTCCTGTATAGCATTTGACTGCACTGAACAACAATAGGACCCTCTTCATGTTTTTTTTAATGATGATGAGTAGGGCCCCATGTTCAGCCCTCGCTTTATTATGACAATTTTCTCTTTTCTCTCCGCAGCTCCATGGACAGTGCTATGTGAATAGCGATCCCGCAGACCTCAGGGTCACCGCCATGCTGGATCTGGGGACTCCCCTTGAGATGATTCAACTCCTGCAGGCCCCCTGGGAGGAGAGATTTAAAGTAAGGGCAAGCAAACAATGGTAATTGTTTCAGTGGCTCTCATAGCCCACCCCCCCTTCTCCCTACTGGGGGGTCAGGATTAACCCATTCACAGCTGGGAGCGGGATGGAAACCTGTGGCTTTTGGAAAGCTCTGGCCTCCCACTGTGATGTGGTTAATGAGTCCAGTTTTCAATGGGCAGAAGGGATTAGTGCAGAGAGCTGTGCAAACAGCCTGTGAGTGGCCAGAACACAATGGGGGAGACCAGCCTGTTGACAATTCTCTGTTCAATCAATCAGTTTTGAATGGCAGGGGTCTGTGTTTACATAAATGACACTGGAAAAGGTCAGGGATCTGACAAAGACTTGTCATGTCAATGGATCAATCCACTCATCTCAGGACCCAGCTGATTCAAAACTTTTTTGAGTGATACTGCAACCCTTTGTGTGGCGTATCGGGGTGCTATTCATTTAGAATGGCGCCCCAATACACATCTACAGTAGGTGGCGCTGCGGAGCGCATTAACGCACATGTGGCAGCTGGTTTTTTATAAATGCAACACAAGCACATGAAACGACGGCTCTAGGTAACGCCTACATGTGATGCTGAGCCTCCATGAAAGAACTGAAATCCAGTCAATTATAGGGTCATGCCATGTTAAGTTAGGCTGGGGAGGAAAGAACTAGATAACGTTGGATGTCCTCCAGCCATAAAATGAGGCAGACTCCATCTGGCTTTGCTGCAGTGAGGAAGCTGGAGTTGTGCATTAACCATTCTATCCAAGCTTTAAAAAATAAGAAAATATATAATGTATATAATTGCAACGTACCAGTCCTTAGGTGTGGTGGCTGCATTAGTTTTCTTTTTCCAGGATAAGAACATTTTCAGCAAGGACAGACAAATAGTTTACCTGCCAGAAATGCTGGATTAACTGAACTGAAACTACAATGTTATCTTCCTTCTGTAAACTAGCTCCCTCCTCCCCCCATGCAATTGAGATGAAGAGCAGAAGATGCATTTGCAATCAGAAGAGAAGCCTAGGGTGATATTATTATTATACAGGATTTATAAAGCGCCAACAGTTTGCTCAGCGCTGTACATGATAATGGGAGACAGTACAAGAGACAGTACAGTAAAAATACAATTCAATACACGAGGAGTTCGAGGGCCCTGCTCCTTGGAGCTTACAATCTAGGAGGGAGGGGATAGTGGTACAGGAGGAAATAGCTGTGGGGGATGGAGTGGTAGGCTTCCCTGAAGAGATGGGTTTTCAGAGTGCACCTAAAGGTGAGGAGAGTAGGTGATAGTCTGATGGATTGGGGTAGGGAGTTCCAGAGGATGTGGGAAGCCCTGGAGAAGTCCTGGAGATGGGCATGGGAGGAGGAGACCAGGGAACTAGAGAGAAGGAGGTCTTGTGAGGAGCGGAGAGTACGTTTTTGGTGGTATTTGGATACCAGATCGGTGATGTAGTTTTGGCCAGTATTATGAACAGCTTTATACGTCAATGTTAGCATTTTGAATTTTATCTGTTGGGCAATCGGAAGCCAGTGGAGGGATTGGCAGGGGGGGGGTGGCAGATACGGAGCTGTTACCAGGTAAAAAATAAAGAAAAATAAGCCTGAAAAAAAAAGAAAACTAATGCAGCCATTACACCTAAAGACTGGAAAGCTGAAGTATATTCCTTTTTTAGTTTTTGACCACTGAGTGATCATTGTAATGAAAGAGCATGGTATAAAAATGTACATCTACATCTGGTGAACATGCCCAAATTGTGCCCATGGAGAGAGGAAGGGAAATATTCTCTTTGTATTGTATTTTTTTAAAATTTAAATCTTTTATTAAATTTTTCATTACAAAAAAAGAAAAGGAAAACTCAACAATATAACATAATCATCCAAAAGACAAACATTTCACCTGAATTTTTAACATATTTGCTGTCAGCCATCACATATAGTCCCTGTAATGTGTCTAAAATGTGTGTTTCCTATAATCGTCAGCTCCATCTAGAGGCCATAATGTGATATTTTACTGATTGCAGTATTTCAGGAAAATACTACATTATGGCCGCTAAATGGAGCTGACCATCAAAGGAAATATGCGTATTAGGCACATTACAGGGATTATTTGTGACGGCACAGCTAAGTGAAATGTATTAGCTGTTAGCCAGTCATGCATTTTTGTGTACGACACCATTATTGGACAGCAGCAAATCATTCTCTATGTCTGTATCTGGCCTCAGGTCTGTCTAGAACTGGTGCGGTTATTGCATTACCTGGCAAATTCACCCTTGGGTTCAGTTGCCCTACTGGATTTCCAGCCGCGCCAGTTCATCCTGGTGGAAGGGAGTCTGAAGCTGACGGATTTGGATGACGCCACGAATGAAGAGATATTGTGTAGGCAGGACACTGATTGCACCCTCACCTTTCCTGCCAGGAGTTTCGGAGTTACATGCTCTGCAGCAGGGACCTGCGTCGAAGCCAATGAGAAGAGAAATCTCTACAATGCCTACAGGTACTAGACACCAATGGTAACTTCTGTTTCTCCTATTATCTGTAACCTACTTGACTTACATTTTTCATTTTCTCTTTTTATGAATTTGGATAAAGGGAGAGGTTGGAACCTCCGTCAAATTTCTATTGTTTGAAGATAAAAAAAAAAGATGGAAGGGCCAACCCACTAGTCAGTGTCTAGAATGTTCTTTATTAGAGGTATCAGTAGGAAAGCCAATGAGTTTCAGGGGGAAGATGTCCCCCTTCATCAGGGCTGAGAAATGAAAGTTATGAAGTTTGCACTGATTTTGAGTGCCATTGGTGATTGTAACTAAAAGCTGAACTGCTGACTTTTACGAGGAATATAAATTTTTCATCCAGACTTTAGAACTACCACTTCTCAGCCTTAGTTAAGTGGGGTTTATGTCTAATAATCATGAATAGTCCAAAGGAGGTTCAAAGTGTGCTGGGCCTTCAAGTAGAGTTAGCCTTAAAGTAGGGTTTGGTGGCAATGGATCCTAATATTCTTTTGCGGGCTTAGTTGGCAGATCCCCATCAATACAGGAGGTTTGTGTAGAATTCTCCAAAAATAAGAAATTATCAAAATGCCAACCCATTAGTCAGTGTCCAGAACAGCCATTCTCAAGCAGGGTTCCATGGAAAATGAAGGTTCCTCCAGCCAATTGTTTTTTGAGCAGTAGCTAATTGATGTCCAATTTGATAGTACTTGCATAGTGGCCAATGCTACTTCAGCCTTGCAGGAGGTCCTTGTAGAATTCTTCAAAGATAAGAAATGGTGGAAATGTCAACCCACTAGTCGGTGTCTAAAACAGCCATTCTCAAGTAGGGTTCCATGGAACCATAGGGTTCCTCCAGCAGTTGGTGAAGGTTCCTTGAGCAGTGATTGACTGGTCTCCCATTTGATGGTACCTGAGTAGTTCCAGGGCCAACACCACTTGACAGAGTCAGCTTCAGAATGCCAATGATCTTGTCAGCTGTCTTTAAAAGTGGCAATGTGACCACCACTGTCAGAGGTCCATCCTTTCCATTGGCCACCACTGAATTGTTTTTAGCAGGGGTTCCCTGAGACCTAATTATTGAAGGGTTCCTAAGGGGTCTAGAATGGTCTTTATTAGATAGACCTAGCAGTCAACGAAGAGAATCCAATATGTCCCAGGCACTACTGAAGTCCCCCTTTATCAGGGCTAATAAATGGTAATTCGAAAGTCTAGACAGCTTTGAGTGCTATTAGTGATGGGAACTTTTAATCTTCAAAGGTTTTTTCTCACCATTACTAGCACTTGTTTCTTGTTTGTTATGCTGACCCACTGGAAAGAGACATAAACCATTTCAGGGTGTCTGGTTTAGGAGATTGGAAAATCAGTGTATTAGCAAAAAATTAAAGCAGAGCTCCGTGATAATTTTTCTGGTCTCTTGAAGTCTGTTGGGCTATACATTAGACCCAATGTGGGTTTATGTTGTACCTATGTTGAATATTCTAAACCTAGACTTCTAGTCGTATCCTATCAGTGCCCTTTCTGAATTTGTATGTGGATGGTTAGGTCTCTGTATCTTGTGTATTTCTATGTTTTTCTGCTCATTGTCATTGTGAAAACATTCTATAAAAAAGGATGCATTAAAAAAAAAAGCAGAGCTCCAGACAAAACTTTTTTAATGAAAGGATAAGGGTTACAGTCTCTCTCATCTTCCTTAAATCTGTGTTCCTGTTTGAAAGATTTACCTTTGTTTTCTGTTTCAGTGACAGCTTGTGTGTCAGGATATCACAGGGTGTCACCAGCACAGGACGTGAAAGAAATCTCTAAAAAAAAAAAGGGGTACAGAAAAATGTTGGGTGCAGTCCTAAAACTTCTGATTTTGCTCTCAATTTTCTTTTTTCGCTCTCAATGAGAAAATTCGGAGGAGCATGATGGATATTTTTTCTCCAACAAACAAATTCCTAACAGTTTATGCTGTTTTCATTTGAGAAATCAAATTCATTCCAAAATTGATTGTTAAAAACAAATGAAAGAACAATCGAATGACATCCCTCAAGTCATCGACTGTACTAAGGGTGTTCTAAAATCTGTTAGCATGTGGCCATCTCTACTGAAAATATTCTGTACTTTGCTTTGAACTTAAAAGTTCCAGGATTTTAAGTAGCCGGTTTTGTCTTTCCAGATTTTTCTTTACTTACCTCTTGCCCCATGCCTCACCTCCTGCCCTTCGACCTCTCCTCCAGGACATCATGAACACAACAGGTACTCTGAGCAATCAAAAACAGTTGTTTCCAGCCCATATAAGTGCCTGTGTCCCGTCTGACAGACCCGCCATAAAATGTCTGCTCTGATTGCAGGTGATTTACGCTTTGGGATTCATGAAACCCTGAAGGCCTTTGAAGATGTCCTGAGCTATTACAAGTCAGGAATGAACCAGAGCTGGACCCAGGATCTGAGAGGTCAGTCCCAAAGTGTCCATTTCCAACTTTTTGAAGTTGTAAAGAAAGTTACTTTAAAAAAGATGACATCACAAAGTTCACAAATTTCATCCTGTAGTCCAAAATGATACAAAATTGTTACAAAAGTGATAACTCGTGATACAAAATTCATCCTTCGGTGCAAAATGATACAAAATTGATAACTCATGATATGAAATTCATCCTGTGGTGCAAAATGATACAAAATTGTTACAAAAGTGATAACTCATGATACAAAATTTATCCTGCGGTGCAAAATGATACAAAATTGATAACTCATAATACAAAATTCATCCTGCGGTGCAAAATGATACAAAATTGATAACTCATGATACAATATTCATCCTGTGGTGCAAAATGATACAAAATTGATAACTCATGATATGAAATTAATTCACTAGCACAAAATGATACAAAATGATTCCAAAATTGATAGCTCATGATACAAAATTCATCCTGTAGCACAAAATGTTACAAAATTGATAACTCATGATATGAAATTCGTCCTGTAGCACAAAATGATACACAATTGTTACAAACTGGATAATCCATGACACAAAATTTAGCCTGTGGCACAAAATGTTATACAATTGTCAGAAAATAGATAACTCATAATACAAATTTCATCCTGTAGCAAAAAATGATACAAAATTGTTACAAAATCGATAACTTGTGATACAAAATGAATCCTCTAGCACAAAATGATACAAAATTGTTACAAAATCGATAACTTGTGATACAAAATGAATCCTCTAGCACAAAATGATACAAAATTGTTACAAAATCGATAACTTGTAATACAAAATATATCTTGTAGGACAAAATTGTTACAAAATTGATAACTCATTATACAAAATTGATCCTGTGGTGCAAAATAATACAAAATTGATAACTCATGATATGAAATTCATCCTGTAGCACAAAATGATACACAATTGTTACAAAATGAGTTATCGATTTTGTAACATTTTGTCCCACAGGATAAATTTGGTATCATAAATTATCCATTTTGTAACAATTGTGTATCATTTTCATCCTGTAACAAAAAATGATTCAAAATTGTTACAAAATTGATAACTCGTGCTACAAAATTCATCCTGTGGCACAAAATGATACAAAATTGTTACAAAATTGATAACTCATGATGCAAAATTTATCCTGTGGCGCGAAATGATTCAAAATTGTTAAAAAATTTATAACTCATGATACAAAATTCATCCTGTGGCACAAAATTATACAAAATTGTTACAAAATCGATAACTTGTGATACAAAACTCATCCTGTGGCACAAAATTGTTACAAAATTGATATTTTCTGATACAAAATTCATCCTGTGGCACAAAATGATACTAAATTGTTACAAAATGGATAACCTGTGATACAAAATGTATCTTGTGGCACAAAATTATATAAAATTGTTACAAAATTGATAACTCATTATACAAATTTCATCCTGTAGCACAAAATTGATACACAATTTAGTTTGCAAACACAAAGAGGTTTGTGATCAGTCCTCTGATTCCTCTCTGCTGGATATTCGCTTTAGTTTTAAAGCTCCATTATGGGCTTGGCTAGCCCAAACACTTGCCCATTCAAGTCTCTTTTCAAGTTTGTCAACCATCTGGATTTCCCATTGCCCAGTGGAAAATCCAGGCATCAAAATATACAAAACCTGATTATTTTTAAAGCTAAACACCAGGCAGATGTAAAACAAACAGATTATTAATACATTAATACATCATTCAGTTCATTTTTTTTAATGCGAGCAGTGTATATACTAGAATTGACCTGGTATTAGCCTTCTGCAGTCCCTTTACAGCAGTGCTCAGACTGGGAGAGGGAGAAGCAGTACAAGGTGCCAATCAATTGGGCCCATTCACCCCCAAACATTTTGTACCTTAAAGCTCCATAAAATTCCCAACAAACAAATATGTTTAAAATAGAGCACAGTCACATATCAGTGCTCAGGCACCTGTAGCTTAACACCTGACATTCATAAAGGTACATGATCTCATTTTTGAACTAGAATTGGACATTTTTTTCCCCGTATGCTTAAATTACTTAACTAGAAGTGCCTGTAAATGCAATAAACAAGTGTTTTTGAGAATGTTTTTTTGGCCTATAGGGCTTTGAGCTTTTAAGAACTGACCCCCCTTTCAAATTGCTTTCTATTGGGTAAAAAAAACCACGTGAATAAACATGTCATTGGGTCCTGGAATTATAAATCCCTTTGATAACAGTTCCACATTTGCTTTCCATAGGTGAACATTTTATTGATTAGACTATTATTACATTTGTCGTGTGTTCTAAGCTCACTGATTTGCTATTTTCCAGAATACTCTGTGCTGAAAGGATTTCGTATTAATGAGACGACCAAGGATTTCCGGTGCTGGCCATCCTTTAACCACCAGGGATGCCTGTTGTCTATGCACAATGCCACTGAGGCAGCAGAATTTTGCAGCAGTCACATTCGCTGCTGGAACTTCGTCATCAGCCAACAAAGGACATGGACGGGTGAGTGTCCTATATTCACCTACTGTAGGGAAAATAGAACGGTTTTGGCTCACTTGTATTTTATGGATTCAAATGTAAATGTTTTTATGTTTTTTTTAAACTGTTTTATTATTTTTATTTTTACCTGTACATAGTATTTAAACACTCATTGCATGAAAAAGGATTCCCAAAGCTCTATGGGTTAGCTAAAGAGACAGCACAGCAGTTATGTCCTTTCAAGAATGATGAGTCATACAGTGTATGTGAACCCTGAAATTGACAAAATTGACATTCTCATATTTATTTATTTATTTCAGGTACTTATATAGCGCCATCAATTTATGCAGCGCTTTACATATATATTGTACATTCACATCAATCCCTAACCCTCAAGGGGTGTACAATCTAAGGTCCCTAACTCACATTCATACATACACATACTAGGGACAATTGAGACAGGAGCCAATTCACCTACCAGCATGTCTTTGGAGTGTGGGAGGAAACTGGAGTACCCGGAAGAAAGCCATGCAGGCACAGGGAGAACATGCAAACTCCAGGCAGGTGGTGCCGTGGTTGGGATTCGAACCGGCGACCCTAGTACTGCCAGGCGGATGTGTTAACGACTTAGCCACTGTGCTACCCATTCTCATATTTGTACCTTTTTGGTCTGTTGAAGCCCAAGTCCAGGAATATGAAAAACCCACAATTGCAGTGGGGTCCTGCAGTTAAAAGCTTGTTATGTCTAGGGGGTACTGTACAGGCTGTGGTTACCTACAAAGTTATCTGTACACTCCAGACAGATCCAGTGTGCAGCAGCAGGGGTGTACGGATGCCACTGCCGGAATTATACTCCCCTGTCATGCTCAGTTGACACTACCAACCATTGAGTGCAACCCATCCAAAAAAAGGGGCCATGCTTCAACCGTCTTGCAACCAAGCACAACATGTGTGATTGTGTACATGGTAGTCCGGAATTTAGGGGATTAAATCAGATGGTGATATGGTCTCCTCACCGCCTGTCAAATGCTGAAGATTGATCAAAACAAGATTCACTCTTTAGAGCGCAAAGCAAGGGTGAATGAACCCTAAAGGAGATTGTACAATCAGAATGTAACATACAGTATGTGGTGAGCTTAAAGACCAACTTCAGGAAAAAAAAGAATTTTCCTATGCAATGGGGCTGTGTCTGCACTGGACAAGTCAACTGCTCGTTTTTTCTAGGGGTGAGCAAAAAGCTGTATACTCACCCGATCCTTCAATCCTAGAGAAAATGGTGCTCCCCTACAGTCCAGTGGTGGACTGCTCCTGGTCTGTAGAGTCTGTACTGTGCGTGATGACGTTAGGAACAGTCCACTATTCAAGACCGCTGGAGTGTGGGGGTTGCTGGACCAGTCTTGCGCTGGGAGGATCATAGAAGTACTGTATGTCTCCATTCTCTCCCCTAGAAAAAAATTAGCACGGTGTGCATAGACCCCACTGCATGGGAAATTTTTGTTGTTGCCTGGAGTTGGGCTTAAAGACTAACTGAACTTCTGTCAACTGTCATTTATCAGGGATGCCACTTACTTTCCCAGATACACCAACGACCACTAGAGGGATCCTTTTTAAATCTGTGTATGAATTATAATATTTGAAATATGGAACAGCAAACCTGTAAAACGTGAACGTTTCTCAAAAAAAGTTACAAAAGTAACTGGGGATATGTAATTACTGTAAATCTTCAATTTCCTTTGAATTTCAGGTTTCAGGGCAATTTCCTGTTTTATATCTATTCTCGGTTGCCACCCCTCGTTTTTACATGATCCCCGTTCCTGATAGCTGTTCCTTCATATTGGGTTGTGGTCGCCCTCGCCTACAGATGTCAGCTCTTAATATCCGTATCTGGCTGGTTATCCTTCATTTAGCCGCAGTGTATGATGTCTCTTACAGATACACACGGCCCAGAAGATGGACATTTTTGTTGTAATAAAAAGACTTTTATTGAACGCCAGCGCCTAATGCGTCACAGGGCTCGTGGTGCTGACGATACCTTGGAACTTGTACGCAACTTTTTTTTTTTTGGCTTTTTTTTTTATAATCCTGGGAATTTTTTTTTTTTTTTTTAAATCTGTTACATATGCCTTTTGTCCCCATCCAAGGGGTCATTCAAGCTTGTGAGAGAATGTGGAAGTCGATATGCACGCTGTAAAGCACCCGATAGCCATCTCAAAGACGGCAAAATTTGTTGTTTTTGTGGGGAAATTTGGCCTCGGGGACATTCTCTGTCCATTCGCAATTCCATCATCTGTCCGTTTTCAATTATGTAAAGTGAACCTGTCATTTGAAACTTCTAAAAGTTCTCCTCTCCATTGTGTCTATACAGGTCGCTATCTTGTGTCCTT